ACGTMATGATCTACAGAAATGATCTTGATTTTCGTTCTTGTTCTCCTTGAACAGAAAATCCCGAACACAAACTCACAAATCCRTGATTCGGAGCTTCGCACTTCCTTTCGTACCGTACCAATTTCCCGGCCCGTTCCGTTCGATCTCTCMMCGGTGCGGCATCATGGTGCGCTTCCGACCCCCCATCGTCCTCTTCGGAGACTCGATCACCCAATTCGCGCACGGCGAATCTCCCCTCGGCACGCCGGTGACCGTCGGCTGGGCGTCSCTGCTGGGCTCCGCCTACCAGAGGAGGGCCGACGTCCTGGAACGCGGCTTTAGCGGCTACAACACGAGGCACGCGCTYGGGGTGCTTCCGAGGRTCTTTCCGGGAGGCGGCGRWTCTGCGCGGCCGCTCTTCTGCACCGTCTTTTTCGGGGCCAACGACGCCGTTCTCCCCTCTTCCACCAGCGACAGCGGCCGGCAGCACGTTCCCCTCGACGAATACGCCGAGAACCTCCGGGCCATCCTGGCGGCGATCCGGGAGGCCACGGGGGCCGCCGGCGGGGAGGAAGATGCCCCGGTGGTTCCGATCGTCGTCGTGACCCCGCCTCCCGTCGACGCGGAACGATGGAGGGAGGTCCTCGGCGCMTACGACCACTGCGACCGATCGAACCTCGCCGCTCGTCGCTACGGAGCCGAGGCCAAGAAGGTCGCATCCTCCATGGAGGACTGCCCCGTCGTGGATGCCTGGGAGCTGCTGGGGGGGGACGATCCGGGGGTCTACCRGCAACACTTGTGCGACGGCCTCCACCTCAGCGACAGCGGGAACCGGCTSGTGTACGAGGGGATCCTGGAGATCCTTCGGACCGGATACCCGCACCTCTGCCCCGCGGAAGACGGCGAGGCGGTGGGGATCCGGGCGGAAGAAGCGCCGTGGTCGGACCTGTGCTAGGGGAGCGGCGCAAAACACCCGACGCGGAGCGKTTCCTTTCGTGGGTGGTTCGCAACGGTGGCGGAAGCACCCCTGGCGCAGAAAACTCGCGGAAACGGAACGACAACGAATCMACTCGGTTCGCGCCTACGAACCAAAGCGTAGACACAAATCTCCTGTTACTATTTGCTATTTGTCCCTCGTCGGCTCTCGAMTTGTTTCTTCTATGGAMTCTACTTTACGTAACAACTAGCTAGCTACTGCTGATCTTGTTTTGGTGCCGGTGCGTAATTGTGCAGGGCAATAATGTCCTTCGCGCTGCAGGGCGCTCGACAGAGCGGACACTCGGGGCGGACCGTGGAGACCCATTGGGCCAGGCAGCTCCAACAAAACACGTGTCCACAAGCCGTGGGAGCGGCGGGGTGCTTGCGATCCGTGCGGCAAATGGTGCAGACCACCACCGGCTTTMCTCGCGGAGGATWCCTGGTTCCGCCTCCCTCCGCGATCCGCAGCTTGGACCCCTTGGTCGGCGCGGGCGGACTGTTGCTCCCGATTCCAAAGAGGACACCCAGTTTCGTCCGGACCTCCGCGTCCCTGGCCCGGGCACGCTCCGCGCGGTCTCCCCGCTCGGCCCGCGCCAGAGCACGGGCTTCCAGGTAGTTTGCCACCGTCCTCGCAAAGCGATGGAACGTGGCACCCGCGAGCGACGTGGACGCCTGGAGAATGATCGCGAGGGCAATGACGCGATTGGTGTTCGGTCGAGACACGATCGGTGTGACCGATGCCGTCGAAGTCGTCGCCCCGCCAACCATTCGTTGCTCGTGCTTGTGCCCGAGCCCTAAACAGCGGTGCACAAGGGTAGGATACTTACCGGTCCACAAAAAGTGGGCGAGGTGCAACCGGACAATCCAGCGTGCAACGGAATARGCTATGCTTGTTCTGTCGTTCTCGTTGCGCTCGTCGTTGTTGTCACTTGTGTCGACGTTGTCGTGGGGCCCGTCCAAGTGGGAGCACACACGGAACACAAACTAAGGACGAACCGAAACAATCATGGCAAAAAAGCAACCCTTCGTGAGCAAAGAACAACGTCAAGCAGCCAGCTCATTGGTGAATCAGATTTTGTCTYCAGTTCTTTCACGGCAATCCGAAGATCCCGGACTTGAAACCGCACTATCGTTTCGCATTAGGCCATCGCGTTCAATGGCAACACTTGTAAGCAGAAGCGTAAACGTACCTTGGAAACTTCTCGGCACACGGACAAAACGCGTGTCGACAGATTCAAATTYGCGGCACTATTCCTTGATGTATTTGCATCAGTTTGAGCTGTTCCACTTTGTTCTTGTCTCTGTTGCTCTCTCGTCGGAGAGGTTGAAGTTTCATTAGCATCAGCCACTCGTTGCAACATCTGTTGGCGAAGCCTTTCGTGAACCAGAAGTCGTTCTCTGCCACGTAACCGT